CCCCAAAACCCCAAAACCCCAAAACCCCAAAACCCCAAAATTATTACAAAAATTGAATTTAAAAATGAACCATAATAAACTTGCTCATGCACCAGGTCATGACAAGCCCAAACAGAGCCGAAAGTAAGTAGACTGTAGGATATTTTAGAGGGTTCAGCCAAGATGTGTTTTTCATACTTAAGCAAACATCGATTCAATGATCTGGCGACAAGCTTAAATAAGCACTCTGTATATTTCAAGCAAACACTTAGTACGACAATTCTGCCAAATCAGTTTAAATTTGAATTTAGAGGATATTAAGCAAGAGAAAATTAGGTTAATTCTCCCAAATTGGGCATCATTCTTTGCCATAAAAGTACTAGTCAAGTTTGTCAGTGAAGATTTGCTACCCAAAACTATGGATCCCATAGAGGCTCTTAAAGTGATCTGGCTGGGAGACTACTTCAAAATCAGTGAACTTGTGTTCATAATGATAGAGACGTTTATAATACCCCAACTTGAGCCTGAAAATGTGATCCAATTTATCAATGAAGCTTATGCCAAACTCAAGAGCATTGGCAAGAACTGCTTACTTGACAAAAGTAACTTAATCTCTCTACAAGGAAACATCACAACAAGTTCGGTAATAATAAACAGAGAAAAGGAAGAGGATGCTTGGTATTCTCTTCTTGACAAAGCACTGGAATTTATGGCTCAGAATAGTCCAATTTCGATACTAAAATAAGCAGAGCTCTCAGATGCAAATACCCAAGGTGATACTTGACGAAATCTGTGAAAGAGTGCACCAAAACTCTAATTCTATCCCTAATCACCAGATATTGAAGTTCATGTGCTCAATTAAGGATAAGGAAGGATTCCCTGAACTCCTGAGTCATGAGAGAAGAAATATTCTAGAAAAAGCAGAACATCATGGCAGCCCAATCCTAACTTGGGAAGTCTGCGACGTCATGGATAACTGCCTCAAGGAGAGTGATACCTTTGTTATTAATGAGAAAACTTGGACTCTCTCAGCTTGGTATATCAAAGGGTCTCTCCAGATATCGATCAGACATATAGAGCAGGAGCAAACATGAGAAATGCTGAGGACCGAAACTTCATACCTTCCATCAATGAAGGGATACATCTCTATACAGTATAAAGTTGTTGTTGGAGACACTGACAAATTCTCTGAGTCAAACATTATGAGCTTGCCTCCTTATTCGAAGGATAACTGTATCTTATTCAATCAGAAATATGAATTAGGGGAGGACTGAAAGCTAAAAATTCATCTACACATGTGACTAAAATACACCTATGCAGCTTTGATTACAGCTATTTCTTCGAATTTTAGCAGCCACCTTAATAATAATAAAATTTCAGAATTATTAGGCTATCAGACATTGCAGATGCTATTCAAGTCAGACGACTTAGATGTACTCACTGAAGATCATGTCTTCGATGCATTTATAAAGTAATTTCTTTTCCTAATGCACAGCTGGTATGACGGCCAACTACAAAATCCTGAACTAGACCAGCTAAAGCTGAATGAGCAGATCAGAATGCTCAGTGACAGTATTAGATGGCAATACGTAAATGTGACCAAATTCACGAAAACTCTTTCAAGTAATTTTCTCTCTAATCTAATTAGGCCGCAAGGAGCTGTGCCAAAACATGGACATTAGGAGGATATATCGAGAGGAGCTAAAATAACCGGCTTGCTTCAGTAGACTCTCACTTTTTCAACAATTCCTACTCTAGAGTGAGCATCAACGATAAGCCTCCTCGTAGGAGCTATGAGAGGTTCATCCGTGAAGAAAACGCAGAGTCTATAATTAACTCACTTGCAGATTTTGTATTAGATAGCCACAAAACAGAGGTTGAGGCAATTCCATTAGATCACAGATCAGAAATTGCAAAAGTAGAAATAGGTATAATTGAAGATTTTGATCAAGAAAATATGAACTTCAACCTCGAGCCTAAGACTCGGAGAACAACTGAGAGTAACTTCATGGCCAAGAGACATAAAAATCTCGACTCTTTCTTCACTGTTAATAAGAATTCGGCTAAGAGCAATTATAAGCCTAATGGTCCAGATGTCTGTCAAGACAGGAAGAAGAGAAGGCTCAGGAATTCTGCTCTAGATAACTCTCTTCATAGTTCGTTGGTAACTGACAGCAAGAAAACGCCAACATCCTTTAAAGAGACTAGTAAATTTTATAATCTAAATACTGTAGATATTCCTCAAGACGTTCAAAAGGAAGTTAGCATAAACATGGGCAGAAACTTTAGCTCTAGCAATTTTTGCCTTGAATCATCAAGTAGCAAAGAAATAGAGGTCACTAAGTAAACTCTCTTTTGATTCTTTAGGAATACTGGAAAAGATACCAGCACAGAGAGGAAGAATAATCCCAGGATCGCCTTTCTAGGGCACGAGACTAAGAAATTTAAGAGACCTTCTATTATTAAATAATTAAGATTCAGTTAGGGTAGCGATCTTGGGGTTTTGGGGTTTTGGGGTTTTGGGGTTTTGGGG